AAGCTTATTTAAAGTACTAGGTCTTCAGCCTGTTTCTGTATGAGTTTTAGTTCAATGAACAATTTAGAGAGGGGGAATATTTTGTACATCTAAGAATTGAGTACATTACTCTACATGGCGTGCATGCCAAACAACATTATTGGGAAAATAAGCCCTAATGTAACCGATTTTCTGTAAGAAAGCTCAGGAGATCTTGCGGGGGCAAAAAAAAAATTGTCGTTGATTCAGATTGGTTGGGGGTATTTTTTCCTTTTTTTATTTTTCTTGTGAAAAGGGGTTCCAGATATCGCGGGGTATTTGCCGCAAAAACTACAGTCTTTGATCCAGGGGTATAATAAGAGAACCCCCCTCTCTCTCTTATTGTCGCGTTTTGCGGCCCATAAACACGAAGAGCCCAGTTTCCCCCGGGGTGGGTTTCAAGCTGGGGGTGTTTTATGTCTTCCACATCACGATTCTTGGGGGTCGTATCTTTCCTCTTTCTTCCTCTTTTTTTTTCATCATTTTATTTATACAGTATTTTGGTTCTAGGACAGAACGTCGATGAGAATAAGGTAAATTACATGCGAGGTGGAGGGGTGAAACAAAAGGCGGGTCATCGATTTTTCTATAATCACGAGTGCGGAACGAGGTTAGGCTAAAGGCGGAAGCTAGGTCGTTTGTTTTTTTGTTTGTTTTTGGCATCAAGGAATCCGAGATTTGTTACTTTTGCCTGGCTTTTATCTTGCTATTTTTATCTCCATTTCTGTAATGGACGAGGCCACCATTTTGTTGGGGCATCTTCGATTCAGTCCAGGCTGGAAATTTTCTGGTTTTATGGCAACCAAAGAGCTGGTAAAATAAAATGTTTTCAGTTTGCAGGATATTCAAATGACGTTTTCTGGGTCACTATACTGAGTTCCTCGGGTTTTTCGGGGATGATTTTACTAAACAGGCATTTTTAGTTGATTGAAAATTATAACCCTTTCAAACTTTTAGGAATGATTGAAAAGCGTAGTTAAAACGAGAAAATTCTGATATTTTCCTTTCCAAAATGCCTGGATTCATGTGACTATGTGAAAAATGGGTTTTTGACTTCTGCTCAAAACAGCGTTGGCATCTAGCATCGCTAACAAAAATTGGCAGTAGTATCTGAAACTTTCCAATGGATTGTCAGATTTTAGAAATTGTGCATTAAACGATTTTTCATTTTTGAATGCAGTGTAAGAAAACATTTGGAGTCTGCAAAAAAGAACAAAAATATTTTGCTAATTAAAATATATGCCTCATAGAAATAGAGGGGTGTATAATGTCATAGAGTTTTTAAAAAAAATTTGAAAAGGGGCCCCGACATTATGTCAATCTTCATGATTCACTTCACAATAGTTCTACCGTATGGAAACACAAGACGAAAGAAACTTTTGAAATAACGTTCGTACTCTAAGTATTTGCTGTAGTCCCTGAAATTTTTGAAAAAAATGCTGATATTGTATTGTTTTATTTTGTAAATGTACTTCTATTTCAATTCCTGCCAAAAAAAAATCTAGTGGAAAACACGAGAAAAATGTTCTACCAACTCAAGATCCGATTGACAAAGTTTAACTTTTTCACGATTTTCGACGACATTATGAGAGGCCCACACCCTTTTATTTTTATTTTTTGTCGCCATGACTTACTGTCAAATAAAAAAAAATGGTACTGTATTTTATTTTATGCATATCTATATTCAGAAATGAGTTTGCAAAAAAAAAAACGCCGGCATTTTCTGTCAATGAAAAAAGTATTCATGCACAGCTTGAGAAATTTCCAAGAAAACACGCTATAAATTCAAATTTTATTTCGTGACTTGAATGCGGGTCAGCGTGATACCAACTCATTTCATAGGACACAAATTTGGTCGTTTTGGCCAATGAATTAGTGTCTTTGCAGAAAAAATAATTTTGAAAACTTGTCATAAAAAAATTGATAGGGCCGTAGTGTAAAAATGAATTGTGTTTCTGACGGCGCGATTTTATTTTTATGGATGCCAAAAAGCTGCTAAAAATTCTTTCCGCGAAGCAATTTGTTTTTAATATTCAGGATAAATTTCGAAAACGAAGAGAATTTATTTTTGGAAGGCGGGGAACTCAATTTCGTTTTGCCACACATCAGCAACAGACAAGAAAGGGAAATTTCTTTTCTCATAACTCCATTTATTCATCCTAGGGACAAAAGAGAAGAAAAAAATAAAGAATGGGGTGGGGATAAAGGAAACGAAGGGTATTAAACAGCAGAGAAACTGTTGTGAAAGCTCAGTAGCCAAAAAGCCTGGGGCCCAAAAGAAAAATGATGTTTCTTGACCACTGAGCTGTCCAATACACTTTCTGTTCAGACATTTTCTTCATCTCTTCTTTTTTCTTTTTCATTCTGTGCCAGAATCGATTTCCATGTCAGAATATGGGGGGAAGAAAAATGATCGCAAGTCTGACCATTGTCTCTTTCTGAGATTTCCTTCTTTCTTTTTTTTAGTTGCATCCGCAAAAAAAAAAGCTTTCAAGAAAGCCTTCGGGTTTAGCATTTGTTATCTGGTTTAAGCCCCAGAAAAAAAAAGTGGCTTTGCGAATGACCTGAAAGGCTTGGGTTATATTCATGGGTTGCCTTGACATCAATCAAAGATATGAGTATCTTTATTCATAGCTAATTATCGGTTGGTCGCCATTATAATGGTGTTATTTTTGACACATGCTTTTGACAGAACTGATAAATTTCTCCGCATTTTTTTGAAAATAAATGCGTGATTTTTCTGTCGTCGTAATGCCAACTTGCATTTATATGAAAGTTTTAACAGGATATTCGAAATGACACTATTCATTTTTTGCGCAAATTTGGTTTTATGGGATTTTGGGGATGGATGATATGATGATATGCTGTAAAATATTTGGAATTTTTAGATTAGAGACTAGCAATTTTATTCAATGTCGAGAAATTGAGCCAATCGTCTTCTTTAGCATTCAAATTTTAATTTCGAATGAAGGTCGTACAAGAGCAAAAAATAAATAATCTTTTGCGTATATCTCAAAACCTTTGTTGTCAAACGTTCCATTTAAATTTAGCAGACTCCAGTTGGATCATTTTTGTGCTTCGATATAAAGCATGAGAATACTTGAGAATAATCAAAGATATGAGTATCTTTATTCATGGCTAATTATCGGCTGGTCTCAAATACTGGTGCTGATTTATTTTGACACCCAGTGTCTCTCATCAATCATACTTATGATGGACAGAGCTGAGAAATTTAGCCACTTTTTTTGAAAATAAATGCGTAATTTATTATCGTCGTAATGCCAACTTGCATTTATATGAAAGTTTTCCCGGGATTTTCCAAATGGCACTATATCCATTTTTTTGCACAAATGAGGTTTTATGGGATTTTGGGTGTGTTTTATGGCTTTTGTGCGTCTGTCGAGGTTCGATTTTTTTTAAAGACATCCGAGTTCAGCATTCGGATGTCTTCAAAAATTATAGCGCCGAAAGCCATTCTGAGTCAATACTTTTTTTCAAATTATCTCCATAAGTTATAACCGCAATCACATGAATATATATATTTTTTTTTAAGTCTTCGTATCATCAAAAATGGCTTAAGAAACCCTTTAATGTCAATATTTTCCCGGAATAATCCCGAGTAATTTTGGTGATGACCTCATAAAAAAATCATTAAATTAATGCACCGCAATTAAAATGTTTGAAACTGAATATTTTCATGTTTTTTTCGGATTAGGTTTTTCGTGAGCTTTCCAGATATCAACTTGACGTTGAATTTTTCCTGCAAAAATAAAAATGATCAATTTTATTTTTCCTTTTGAATTTTTGCAGAGGCTCTGACGGAGATTTGAAGTACGAATCAATCGGGTCGGTGATATTTTACCGACCAGGAACTGGGTTCACGTCCACGCTGAAGAGAGGCGGAAGTTACGCTACGATTCCCGGAAATCAGGTGGTCAACAACAATTCTACTCTCACTTCCGGTGTTTTGCCCAAGTCCGGGGATCACATGATGAAAGACCGTGACGATATTCCTTCAGGTTAGTTCGAATTTTTTAGCAATCGTTTTCTGTTATACTGTACTATATTCTGCTGGCTCATGAAAATTTCCAGGATTTGTATTATTCTCGAAAAAAAGCTTTCATTTTTTCCTGGGTGAGTATAATGTGCTTGGAATGAAAAAAAATGTGTCTAACTCGGTGAATTAAATTATCCGCTTGTGTAACGAAAATAATTGACTGTTTAATTGCAAGTTATTTCTTGCAGTATTTTTTTATGCACTGTATTGTTCACAAAATAAAACGTAGTTCGCTTGAAAAATAATCCTTCACGTTTGTAGACTTCATAATGACTAATTTCAAGCATTTTTTAAACCATGCCTCTTTCGAAAGACCATCGTGTTTTTTTCAAGACTATGAAAAATTATTCTACAATTTTTCCAGAAAACAGATTCTTGGTGAAAATCATTATGTGAAAGAAAACTTTTTTTGTGCAACCGCGTCAGAAGTATCAACGCATGTCATCAAAAATGTTCAACATTTTTAATTTTTAAATTTTTTACGTTTTCAACATGTTTACTACTTATAAATTTTTCCTTTTTATATATTTCTTACTTTTTTCATAAATTTGTCAATTTTTTAAATTCTTGCTGTTTTACATTTCCTAATCTTTAAAAATTTTCACTTTCCATAAATTTGGGTATTTGTTTCGTCATTAATTTCAGGCGTTTCTACCGAGAATGTTTCTTGTGAGAATTTTTTTTTAATTGACTATTGTGTGATATAATTTTTTAAAATTGTTTCTTCATCAGATTCTGGCATAAACCCGAATGTGTCAATATCAGCGAGGTCTGGGTCACACACGACCACCACGGGTTCCAGCGGCGGTCATCCCCCGCAGCAGCAGCAGCAGCAACAACCGCAGCTGCACCAAATGCCGGGCAATAACTCATTAATGTGGGGCACCGGAGGTTCCAACTTTTCGCAGCAGCACCAGCAAGTGTGGTACAAGCCGCCATTCACCCCAAAGATTGGGTCAACTGCTGGCAGTTCCAGGAGATTAGTGACCAGTCCCTTCCAGCAACATGTAAGCTAGTGTGCATATGCTCCACATTTCTTTCTTCTTTTTGTTTTTCTTTTTGGCAGGAAATGGCATTGATTCTCTGTCTAGACTCTATAGAGTCAAATTTATACAATGGGTGGGAATATCGCTGGAGAAGTGTTTTGCATGTGTTTGGAAAGGATTGAGGACAATTCAGGGTATATGATCTGATACACTTGACAATTTGAGACTGCGCATGGGACCATTTCATCTGGGGGAAATTTGAAATGGAAACATTTTTAACAGAAATGATTTCAGATGAGAACAACTTGAGGCAGAAACATTTTAAACTATGGATATCAGCTGGGGATAATTTGAGGCAGAAACATTGCAAGAAAGAGATGACTACAGATGGGAATGATTTGAGACTGGAACAATTTCAGGCAGAGGCAATTAGAGAGATGGACATTAGATAGGAACAATTGGAGAGATGGACAATAGACAGGAACAATTGGAGAGATGGACAATTTGAGACAGAGATAATTTGAGAGATGGACTATTTGAGACAGGGAAAATTTGAGGCAGGTATAATTTGAAAAAGGGACACTTTGAGTCAGGGACCATTCAAGACAAGAAAAATTTGAAACAGAAACATTTTAAGACAGGGACGATTTCAGATAGGGACAATTTGAGACCAAACATTTTCAGAAAGGGATGAATTCAAATGTTGACAATTTCAGACAGTGGCAATTTGAGAGATGGGCCATTTGAGACAGGGACAATTTGAGACAGGGACAATTTGAGACAGAGACAATTTGAGACAGAGACAATTTGAGACAGAGACAATTTAAGACAGGGATGATTTCAGGTAGGGAAAATTTTAGGCATAAAAATTTCAAGACAGAGAAATTTGGAGACATGTAAAATTTGAGACAGAAACATTTTGACACCAACATCATTTTCCAATCCAAGACAAAAGTATTTGGAGACTGATTTCATGTTCTCCTGTGAGACATTAGCATTTTGAGACCAATGTCATTTTCCAATTTGAGAACAATACATTAATTTGGAGGAAATTTCCATCTTCTATTTTGGGACAGGAGTAGATTGAGCAAGCTCCATGCCATCTATCTTATATTGTCATTTGCCTTGAAAACTGGATTCTGCCTAAATCTTCTTCCACAGAATCAAATATCAGCCATTTTTAAAACAATTGGAGAGATGGACAATTTGAGACAGAGATAATTTGAGAGATGGACTATTTGAGACAGGGAAAATTTGAGGCAGGTATAATTTGAAAAAGGGACACTTTGAGTCAGGGACCATTCAAGACAAAAAAATTTGAAACAGAAACATTTTAAGACAGGGACGATTTCAGATAGGGACAATTTGAGACCAAACATTTTCAGAAAGGGATGAATTCAAATGTCGACAATTTCAGACAGTGGCAATTTGAGAGATGGGCCATTTGAGACAGGGACAATTTGAGACAGAGACAATTTGAGACAGAGACAATTTGAGACAGGGATGATTTCGGATATTAACAATTTGAGGCATAAACATTTCAAGACAGAAAAATGTGGAGGCATGTAAAATTTGAGACAGAAACATTTTGACACCAACATCATTTTCCAATCCAAGACAAAAGTATTTGGAGACTGATTTTATTTTTTCCTGTGAGACATGAACATTTTTAGACCAATGTCATTTTCCAATTTGAGAACAACACATTTGGAGGAAATTTTCATCTTCTATTTTGGGACAGGAGTAGATTGAGCAAGCTCCATGCCATCTATCTTATATTGTCATTTGCCTTGAAAACTGGATTCTGCCTAAATCTTCTTCCACAGAATCAAATATCAGCCATTTTTATTCACCATATAACTTGCTATATTCATTCTTATGTGATGCCTATTTCATAACTGAATACACAACACTTTTCCGCTCAGCTTAAATTTAAAAAATCTTGAATTGTCAGTCTCAATTTGTACAATGTCAAACTTTCTACAGTTCAACCTCTCTAAGTCAAATTTCTAGGTACCATGAAAAAAAATTTGACTTCGGGAGGTTTAGACTTAGGGAGGTTTTCATTTTTTGAGTTTTCCAGTTGAGAAAACAAACACTTTTGTTGTGAGAAGTGAAAAAAATGTGGGAAATCATAAATGAGGATATTCTGGGCTACACCTTGCTGAACTTGGAGGCAGGGGTTCATTTTCTATACAGTATTTCTCTTTCAATTCCTTTCAAGATGCATCAAATTATTTGTTTTAATCGTTTTATCTTTCATATTTCAAGAAAATAATGACCAGAAGGCCTCAGAAAATTTGACTTACAGAGGTTTTATAAAAAAAGACTTTGAGTTTTCACCTTTATCTCACATTGTCCCTATGTCATTTGGAAATATTAGCTCAGCAAATCTTGGTGAAGTTTTGTTGAATTTTTTTACATTTGGTGTTTTTGTTCCCAGGTTTCCTATCCCAGGATAACCTTGCCACCTCCTCCACCGGACACTCCTCCACCACCTGCGCCAACTTACGCCACGCCAGTGTATGCCAGTTTGAATCAGCAGCAACATTTGCAGGCTGCGAGCACGCTAAGCTCTCAGTTCAGTGCCCATCAGGCGACTGTGACTGAGATGA